TCCCGCGCACCTGAGTGGCCTGGTCGGGCCTGGCGGCTGTGCGTCTGGGGGACCCGGCGCCTCCTCTCCTCCCGCCTGGCCGAGGTGGGTGTGGGAAAAGGTTCTCCGGGCCCCAGGCCGGCGGCTTAATCCGATTAGAGGTCTGCCCCGTGCACACCGCGTACCCCGCCTCCAGGAAGCCTTCAAGTCACCAAGGTCCTGGGGCCGCTGCGGTCTGCAGGGGCCCTGGGGGGAGCTTCCCTGGGCCGCAGCTCTGCGTCTGCACAGCGGACGGGGCGTGGGCAGGGCCCCCGACCTCCTCGAAGGAGAGGCGGAATCAGGGACCGGGCCTTCCTCACGTGCACAGGGGACCAGAGAGGCGACAGGGCAGGGAGAGGCCGCGGAGGAGGACAGCGGCGCCCGAGGGCCGAGTCTGCGGCAGCCTGGGCCCCTAGGGAGAAACCTGTGGAAGAAACTGCGGGCCGGGCCGGATCGCCTGCCTCGCCCAGTGCGACTCCTGTTGGGGAAACAAACAAACGAAACCCAAAACCAAACAAATAAAAACAAAAGTGTGCGCTCCGCTGGTGCGGCGTTTCGTGTCCCGCCACGAGTGGGTCCCGCCGGCCACTTCCTGCCGTGGAGGGTTCCCGATCGGGTCTGCAATTTCCTTTGAACCTCGTGAGACCGAGGGAGCCGTCGTCCCTGAACCCACAGCTGTGTAGAAGCCCAGGGCCGCCCCACCACAGGTCCCCCCCGGGCGCACCAGGCGCAAGGCCGGGATCAGAGCTGCCGCCTCCTGCCTGGCTCTGTGCGGCTCGGCCCGGACTGAAACCCTCCTGCTCCGGCCCCTGCCCGCTGCACACCCGGGAACAGAGTCCCCTCCTTCGGCCTCACAGGCAGGTGGGCGGGAGGTCGGCACTGGGACCCTGAGGGAAACCAGTCGGGCTCCAAAGCACGGGGAGTTTGTGAGAGGCCCTGAGTGCGAATGGAGCGGAAAGGCTGTCAGGGAAGAGGAGAGGGGGAGCCAACCGGAGTTTTCCATAGGGTGGAAGGGAGCAGACGCAGAGATGTGGGGAGGTGGAGGAGGAGGAGGAGCAGATGGAGGAGGAGATGGAGGAGGAGACGGGGGAGGAGGAGATGGAGGAGGAGGAGCTGGAGGAGGAGATGGAGATGGAGGAGGAGGAGGAGGAGCTGGAGGAGGAGATGGAGATGGAGGAGGAGGAGGAGGAGCTGGAGGAGGAGATGGAGATGGAGGAGGAGGAGGAGGAGCTGGAGGAGGAGATGGAGATGGAGGAGGAGGAGGAGGAGCTGGAGGAGGAGATGGAGATGGAGGAGGAGGAGGAGGAGCTGGAGGAGGAGATGGAGATGGAGGAGGAGGAGGAGGAGCTGGAGGAGGAGATGGAGATGGAGGAGGAGGAGGAGGAGCTGGAGGAGGAGATGGAGATGGAGGAGGAGGAGGAGGAGCTGGAGGAGGAGATGGAGATGGAGGAGGAGGAGGAGGAGCTGGAGGAGGAGATGGAGATGGAGGAGGAGGAGGAGGAGCTGGAGGAGGAGATGGAGATGGAGGAGGAGGAGGAGGAGCTGGAGGAGGAGATGGAGATGGAGGAGGAGGAGGAGGAGCTGGAGGAGGAGATGGAGATGGAGGAGGAGGAGGAGGAGCTGGAGGAGGAGATGGAGATGGAGGAGGAGGAGGAGGAGCTGGAGGAGGAGATGGAGATGGAGGAGGAGGAGGAGGAGCTGGAGGAGGAGATGGAGATGGAGGAGGAGGAGGAGGAGCTGGAGGAGGAGATGGAGATGGAGGAGGAGGAGGAGGAGCTGGAGGAGGAGATGGAGATGGAGGAGGAGGAGGAGGAGCTGGAGGAGGAGATGGAGATGGAGGAGGAGGAGGAGGAGCTGGAGGAGGAGATGGAGATGGAGGAGGAGGAGGAGGAGCTGGAGGAGGAGATGGAGATGGAGGAGGAGGAGGAGGAGCTGGAGGAGGAGATGGAGATGGAGGAGGAGGAGGAGGAGCTGGAGGAGGAGATGGAGATGGAGGAGGAGGAGGAGGAGCTGGAGGAGGAGATGGAGATGGAGGAGGAGGAGGAGGAGCTGGAGGAGGAGATGGAGATGGAGGAGGAGGAGGAGGAGCTGGAGGAGGAGATGGAGATGGAGGAGGAGGAGGAGGAGCTGGAGGAGGAGATGGAGATGGAGGAGGAGGAGGAGGAGCTGGAGGAGGAGATGGAGATGGAGGAGGAGGAGGAGGAGCTGGAGGAGGAGATGGAGATGGAGGAGGAGGAGGAGGAGCTGGAGGAGGAGATGGAGATGGAGGAGGAGGAGGAGGAGCTGGAGGAGGAGATGGAGATGGAGGAGGAGGAGGAGGAGCTGGAGGAGGAGATGGAGATGGAGGAGGAGGAGGAGGAGCTGGAGGAGGAGATGGAGATGGAGGAGGAGGAGGAGGAGCTGGAGGAGGAGATGGAGATGGAGGAGGAGGAGGAGGAGCTGGAGGAGGAGATGGAGATGGAGGAGGAGGAGGAGGAGCTGGAGGAGGAGATGGAGATGGAGGAGGAGGAGGAGGAGCTGGAGGAGGAGATGGAGATGGAGGAGGAGGAGGAGGAGCTGGAGGAGGAGATGGAGATGGAGGAGGAGGAGGAGGAGCTGGAGGAGGAGATGGAGATGGAGGAGGAGGAGGAGGAGCTGGAGGAGGAGATGGAGATGGAGGAGGAGGAGGAGGAGCTGGAGGAGGAGATGGAGATGGAGGAGGAGGAGGAGGAGCTGGAGGAGGAGATGGAGATGGAGGAGGAGGAGGAGGAGCTGGAGGAGGAGATGGAGATGGAGGAGGAGGAGGAGGAGCTGGAGGAGGAGATGGAGATGGAGGAGGAGGAGGAGGAGCTGGAGGAGGAGATGGAGATGGAGGAGGAGGAGGAGGAGCTGGAGGAGGAGATGGAGATGGAGGAGGAGGAGGAGGAGCTGGAGGAGGAGATGGAGATGGAGGAGGAGGAGGAGGAGCTGGAGGAGGAGATGGAGATGGAGGAGGAGGAGGAGGAGCTGGAGGAGGAGATGGAGATGGAGGAGGAGGAGGAGGAGCTGGAGGAGGAGATGGAGATGGAGGAGGAGGAGGAGGAGCTGGAGGAGGAGATGGAGATGGAGGAGGAGGAGGAGGAGCTGGAGGAGGAGATGGAGATGGAGGAGGAGGAGGAGGAGCTGGAGGAGGAGATGGAGATGGAGGAGGAGGAGGAGGAGCTGGAGGAGGAGATGGAGATGGAGGAGGAGGAGGAGGAGCTGGAGGAGGAGATGGAGATGGAGGAGGAGGAGGAGGAGCTGGAGGAGGAGATGGAGATGGAGGAGGAGGAGGAGGAGCTGGAGGAGGAGATGGAGATGGAGGAGGAGGAGGAGGAGCTGGAGGAGGAGATGGAGATGGAGGAGGAGGAGGAGGAGCTGGAGGAGGAGATGGAGATGGAGGAGGAGGAGGAGGAGCTGGAGGAGGAGATGGAGATGGAGGAGGAGGAGGAGGAGCTGGAGGAGGAGATGGAGATGGAGGAGGAGGAGGAGGAGCTGGAGGAGGAGATGGAGATGGAGGAGGAGGAGGAGGAGCTGGAGGAGGAGATGGAGATGGAGGAGGAGGAGGAGGAGCTGGAGGAGGAGATGGAGATGGAGGAGGAGGAGGAGGAGCTGGAGGAGGAGATGGAGATGGAGGAGGAGGAGGAGGAGCTGGAGGAGGAGATGGAGATGGAGGAGGAGGAGGAGGAGCTGGAGGAGGAGATGGAGATGGAGGAGGAGGAGGAGGAGCTGGAGGAGGAGATGGAGATGGAGGAGGAGGAGGAGGAGCTGGAGGAGGAGATGGAGATGGAGGAGGAGGAGGAGGAGCTGGAGGAGGAGATGGAGATGGAGGAGGAGGAGGAGGAGCTGGAGGAGGAGATGGAGATGGAGGAGGAGGAGGAGGAGCTGGAGGAGGAGATGGAGATGGAGGAGGAGGAGGAGGAGCTGGAGGAGGAGATGGAGATGGAGGAGGAGGAGGAGGAGCTGGAGGAGGAGATGGAGGAGGAGGAGGTGGAGGAGGTGGAGGAGGACGAGTTGGAGACCAAGATAAAAGGGGACACAGCCCCACCGGAAAGATACCAGTAAAGGAAGGCCGGGATGTAGCTCAGTGGTTCCACCACCTGCCTTGAGAGCGCAAGGACCTGAGTTTGATCCCGGTACCAATAATAAATGAATAAATGAGAAAAAGGAAAAAGTGAAACTTGGGCTGGGAATTTAGCTCATTGCCGCTGCCTGCCTGGCAAGGGCAAGGTCCTAAGTTCGAATCCCAGTACAAACAAACAAAGAGTAAACATAAACATAGTAAAAACCCCGCACCAGTCCCTGGGTGGTTTCCCTGCTTCCCTGAGTGGCCTCCCGTCCGCTGTCCCGATATAAAACCCAAGCTTTCCCCATGAACCGAGCTGTACGGATTCTGGCCGGACCTCCTCGGTCCCTAACAAGGATGGGTTCATCCTCATGTGTTTGTTGACTGACTGGAACTGTGGGCACTGTGGGCATCTCGGTTCCATTAAGATGTGTCGGTTGACACGTGTGTGTCATGAACAGCTGGGTTGGACCCAGAAGCCCAAAATGACATGGATTGAAAATATATTTGCTGTCGGGCACCGTGGGGCGCGCCCGTCAACCCAGCATTCAGGAGGCTGAGGCAGGAGGATCCCCATGAGGTTCAAGTTCGGCCTGTCATCCCAGCACTCGGGAGGCTGAGGCACGAGTATCTCTGTGAGTTCGAGACCAGCCTGGGCTACATAGTGAGTTCCAGGTCAGTCTCAACTACAGAGTGAGACCCTGTCTCAAAACACAAACAAACAAAGAAGAAACCAAACAAATACAAGGCCCTGAAGCCAGGGTGTGGGGAGAGATTGGGGTCTCCGGGGGTGAGCAGCTGCTATTTGTGTCCTTTACCCAGGCGGAAATGGGGTGGGGGGAGTCGGGGCAGGAGGCCTCCTGGACCTGGGGCGCTGATTCCACACCCCTAGGAGCCGCTGAGAGGATCGGGGGCCGACAGGAGGGCTGGAGAATCCCCAGCGGAGAGCTTTACGGGCTGCGTGGAGAAACCGCTCAGCTGCAGGGCTGGAGGCCTCGCCTCACATGCAGGGGCGTGGAGACCGGGTCATAAGGAGCAGCGGAGGTAACCTGAGTCCCCAGGGCGGCCCCGACCCCGTGGGGCTGGGTCCCTCTGAGAAGAGGCCGGGAGGACACGGACCACACAGAGGGATGCGCGTGTGAGGACCCAGGAGCCCGGGAGCCAGGCCTGGGAGGACTAAACCACAGAGGGGAAGCCGCCAGGGTGCCTCCCTGGAAACAGGGCACGGGCGCGGCTGGAGTACTACATGGCCTTCAAAAAGCTGGACTGATAGATGCTTGTGGCTGTTATGCCTGCCTTGCGGGTGGTTCCCTTTGTGACACATTAGGCAGTGACAGGCTGACACTCACCAGGGTGTGTTCCTGTGGGGATTCGGGATGGGCCACGGAATAATTATTCATCCTCATTAATCTCTCCTGCTGTTGTCCTAAGTAAGCAGATCCACTGCAAAACCAGTATGCAGAGGAGAATGTTGTGTCAACTTCTGGGTACTCCCAAAAGTCCTGTGTGCAAATTCTCACCTTGCAGAATGTGGTGGGGTCAGGGCTGGGGCTGAGGGAGGTGCTGAGGTCCTGAGGGTGGAGCCCCATGGACGGGATCCGCGTCCTCATCACGGACCCCAGAGAGCTCCCCGCCCTCCACCACCCGAGGACGCAGCGAGAAGGGGCCGCCCGGGACCAGGAAGCGGCCTCACCACACACGGGCTCTGCCACGGCTGGACTTGGGCTTC